TTCCCCGGAGTGACCTTTGGTGCGCGGCATCCAGTTGCGGCGGGGAGGGCCCAAACCTAGCACGCATGCCGCCACTGTCGCACAGCATGTAACAATCGGCAAGCCGCGCACCAAAGGCCACTCCTCCCTATAGGGTCACTCCTGCGCGTAGCCGGGTAACCCGGAACTGTTCGAAGGTCCGCGCTGATTTCAATGGATCTCAGGTTGACCCCTGGCAGCGCCTCTGGCGCCGCCCCCTGCGCGCTCCGATCGCCAAGGAGGGGGTCGCAGCTCCAATTTCAAAAATCCGCGCGGGCCTCGTACAGTCTGCGGCTGTGTCGGCTGATGTTTCTTCGTCCCAGCGTCAGGCAATGCCAAGAGGGGGTCACCACCAAGGGGCCGCCAGCTCTTCCCGAAATCGAGGGCCCGAAGCTGAGGATCGAGAAGGTTTTTCAACGATCTCGAGCGTTGTGCGTTGTGGGTGGTCCGCCGTAGTTCGGAGGGCTCTGCGGGGCCCGCCTCCTCGAGGCCGTGGCCTCACCCCCGAGGGGTGGTCCCCCCATGGCATGGCCCGGGGCAGGCCGAGACCTCTGACGGACTGGCCCTTGTGCTGTGCCGCTTCTCCTCTCCAGCCTGCGGGCCCCTGGGGGTTCAATGTTCCCGGGGCTCGCGAGGCCCCCAAAAGCTCAGCCTGAGCGGGAACCTGCGCCATGGGGAGTGGGCCGAGATCTCGGGTGTCGTCAGAGGTGGTTCTGGCCCAAGGTGCCCCCAGCTTTCCCAGGGAGACCCAGAGGCCCTGCAGAGCACCCCCTTCGAGGCCTAGAGGGGCCCAATGTGCTCGAGGATTGGGACCCCTTGGGCCAGGCACACTTCTAGCGACACCTGGAGACTTCTGAAGGAGCAGCGGACTTCGAGTGGACCTGGTCCACAGAAGGCACGGAAGTGAGCACAAGTGCCCTGTCCCCCAAAGCCTCACACGAGAAAATAACACGCTCAACCCAGCTCTTGCGGGAAGGGGCCGAGGCTTCCCGGGCCAGTGGATGCATCAAGGTGTGTGTGTGTGTGGTGTGTGTGTGTGGTGTGTGTGTGTGGTGTGTATGTGTGTGCGTGCGTGTGTGTCCCGCCGTCGCCGGGCGCCTCCCCAATTCCCTCTCTGCATGGTGACCCAATTCGCGTTAGTTCGTCTCTCAACGCTTCATCGCCAGCGCAGTCACTCTGCCTAGCTGCCGACGCAAAACAAGGTGTGTGTGTGTGTGAGTGCGTGTGTGTCTTTCGTGCGCTACGAACTAGTGGCTCAGGGCGCACCGGGGGCATAGGCAGGTGCCCGATCTCAGCGCGAAGCAGCGCTCAAAAATATTCGTATCCACTTGGAGGCTGTGACAATGCGAAGCCTCCTGTTCTGATGCAACCCATGCTCGTTGCAGGAGCGCGCCGCGCGACGCTCGTGGCACCGCCTTCGATCAGCGTCGCAGCACTCGGGCGTTCACGCCGCGCTCTGCCCCAGCTGCCCCGCCCCCACCGCTGGCCCCCGGCGGATCGACCCTGCTGCAAGGTCGAACCCTCGGAGGCCTGGGCGCAGCAGCCCCTGCCTGCGCCGTGCGCCCCCCCCCCCCCCCCACTCTCCGCCTGCTCGGCGGCCGCGCGCACGGCGCGGACGCACGGCCGGCGGCGGCGGCGGCCTTCAGCTCCCTGGCCCCTAAAGCAGGCGCCGGGTGGAGCAAGAGGGCTCCTACACAGGTCGGGGGCGGCCAAGAGGGGGGAGATGCCTACCTGGGGTGGGGGGCCGAGATCGTGGCGGCGGCCACGAGAGCTCCCCGGACCTCATGCCCATTCCCCCCCCTCGTATTTCTTCAGGGCGCTCCGTGTTTCCCCCCACGTCCGCGCACATGCCTCGGGCCATGACTTGCGCCCCCCCCTCGTGGACGTCCCCGAAGAGGAGGCCGCTGCCTCCGGAGCTGCCCGCCACCCTGCCACAACCCCTCCCCGTGGAAGAAACATGCTGCTTTCATAGACATGAACTTTCGGAGCGCCGCACGGAGTCCTCGGATCGGCTCTGACCCCCCCTGACGGCACCTCTGGCGCCGCCCCCAGCTCCAGCGCAGATCAAGGAGATCCTCGCAGACCTCGGAGATTTATGTCTGTGCAGTCTGTTCTTCCTCCACTGCCGGCCTGCCGCGACCCCCTCGCCCGGCTCCCCTCCCTTGCGCGCCGCCAGCCCGCCCCCCTCACTTCCTGGCGAGGCCCAAGGCGGCTGCGCCCCACAGGTAGCGGTGGCGCTCTCGGACATCATGGCGGCGGACCACACCGCTTCCTCCTCCTCCTCCTCCTCCTCCTCCTTCGTGTCGTCGTCATCCTTCTCCATCCCCATGCCTTATGGATACGGTCGGGAGCTTTTGGGTCGTGTGTCGCGCCGCCAGCTCTGGCCCGCCACGCCTCGGCGCAACGCGCTGACCACGTCCCGGCCCCAAGCATCAACGTCCCGAGTGTTTCCCGGCCTCTCGCCCCGCGAAGCGGAGCGACTTGCTATCCCCTTGCCAGACATAGCATAGCTCGGCGTGCGCCGCCGCGACGCGCTAAGCCAAAGTTGCCGACCGTGTCTTTCCCGCATCGCATCACTGGTCGTGTCGATAGGCTGGGCCATGCGTTTCTCCGGAGTCTTCCTCGCAATGTGCCACCCTCAAGCTGAAAGCTGTCCAACAGTTGCACGGATGGAAGGCTGGTGGTCTTCAAAGCGTGGTTCTGGCCATAGCGTCACGAACATACGAATTGAGGGCTGGCCATTTTCAAATATGATTCTCGTTTAAGCGCCGCGTACATACGTGTTGTTCCCCAACCAGTGCTTGCACTAAAGGGGTCCTAGCGGATGTTGAAGGATTTGGTGAAAGTGGGCGGCCGATTTCGGTGGGCCGCCAGGTTCCCGGGTTCCCGATTCTGGATTCCAGGGTTCCCAGTTGCTGGTTCTGGGCCGATTTTTGTGGGCGGCGGGGTTCCCGGCTATCCGGGTTCCGGGTTCTTGGTCGATCTCCTTATCGATCGTCTCACTATCGATCTCATTACCCACCTCACTATCGACTCCACTACCGATCTCACAGTCGATCTTATCATCGACCTTACAATCGGTCTCACTATAGATCGCACGACCGATCTCACGATCGATCTCACTGAATCGACTTCGCTATCGGTCTCATGACCGACCTTACTATCGTCTTTACTATCGATCCCACTGTCGATCTCACTATCGATCTCACCATCGGTCTCAATATTAATATCACTAGTTGGTTTGCCATTTACTGGTTTTCTTTTCTCTGCTGTAATTATCATGTAGACTTTCCAGTGTTACACCGATGGAGAGACTGTCACTTCCCACATGTGGTTCTCCTCAGCAAACCGCACCCCTCGCATACGAGTATAGTATTGCGCAGCATGTGCAGTCGAACTCTGGTTTCTCGTCAACACTGGGCTGACCCTTGGGACTTCGTTTGCCCGTATGGCCAGAGGCTTGATGAGGCGCAATTGCCGCATGGATGCAGGGCGGTTCCCCTTCAAGGCGGGGCTGCCCATGCTAAGTCCTTGTCTCAAGACGCGCGGACCCCTCGCCCTGCCGCACTCCCCCTGTAGCTCGAAGGTGGAGGGTGCCCCTTGTAAAAACACGGAGCTCCCGCCCGCAGTGCGGGCCCGCGGGGCGCTCGTCCTGCAAGGTGGGCGCGCCTCGCTCAGCAAAGGGAGGGCGCACTGCAGCAGCGCTGCTACATCCTGGGCGTTCTTCTGATCTCCTCGTCATCCTCGTCATCCTCGTCATCCTTCTCCTCCTTCCTGTCGTCCGCCATCCCGTTTCCCTCCCCGCCCCAGATCTCAGCTTTCCTCCCTCTCCTTTCTCTCTCTATCCTCCTGCCGGTCTGTTCTCCTTTATGTCCTTCCTGGCCCCGTTCATACTGCTGTCCTCCTCCTCTACCCTCTTCCTCCTCCTGCAGTCGTCTGAGGTGGACCCTGCCAACCCAAGGGTACCTTCGCAGGTGTTCTGTGTATCGCGTCTCGTGTCCTCTGCGTTCAGCCGGGCAAATTGGCCCTCGTAACGTACTTCCTCGCCGAGGGCGTTCCAGCGGGTGTCGGGGGTGCCTGGTGCCTCCGCTGGGAGCCCGCCAGGAGCTCGTTCGGTGGAAGGGGCGAAACGTTCTGCGGCATCCGATGTGTGTCGCCTCCCTTCCACATCTCGGGTAGGAGACCGACTGCAGAATTGCTTTTGTCCCAGAACTGCTTCTCGTCGAATCTAAGAAAACAGAGGCACAATGCTCGCAGTTACGCGAACATGCCTTCTCTGCTCGTGGATCCGACGTGACAGCTCTGGGGTAAATCATTCATGCAGTCGATCTCCCATTCGAACTTCCTCCTCGTCGCCAGATCTCTCTCCAGAGAAGGCTCCCGGCAGCAGCGGCGGGGGCAGCAAAGGTGGTCGAGCCTGCGGGCGCCGCCTCGCCGGTTCGCCAGCTCCCGCGTGCCTGCTCCACGGGTGACCTCCGCACTACTTGCCGTTTAGGAGGAGGAGGAGGAGGAGGAGGAGGAGGAGGAGGAGGGTGCGGCCCCGTGGACGCAGCCCCGCCTCGAACCTGGGTCCTCGAATCTGGCCGGCCGCGCTCTGTGGTCGGGGGCCAGCGCCTCCTTTTACAAGGGCCGCACGTTCAGGGCGAGGGCCGCTCCCAGGGCCCAGGGGGAAGGGGGTGCGCCAACCGGGGCCTACTCTTCCTGCTCCTTCAGTGGGCCCCTCTCAGGCTGCGTGTTGCAGCGAGGGTGCTCGCAGGGGCGGTGCGGCGTCCGTTGTGAGCCATGGGCCGCGTCAGACGGTTTGGCGTCATGAATGTTTCGTTCCCAGACTTCCCCTGCGTCACTCTCAGTAGGCACTAGCTTTACAGGTGATAAGTAGAAGCAGACAAACTCCCACGGGCAAGGGTCTCGATCCCGATTATTCTCCCCCTCCTCCTCCTCCTCCTCTTCCTCCTCCGCCTTCTCCTCCTTCCCGGTGGCCCATGGGGGCCTGGAGGCGGCCTTGTCCTCGCCCTCCCTCTCGCGGCGCTCCCTCCGGCAGGGCTCGGCGCTGACGAGGTGAAGTTGGACGGCCTGAAGGTGTGGAACGATTCGGGGAAGGCGGCGACCTGCTCCTGCCGTGTTCTGCTACCTCGACTTCCTCGTCCTCTCCATTTCCTCCTCTGCCTCCTGCCTCCTCCTTCTTATTATTCTTCGTTTCCTCCTCCTCCTCCTGCTCCTCCTCCTCCTCCTCCTCATCCTTCCTCCTCCTCCTGATCCTCCTCCTCCTCCCTCCTCCTCCCTCCTCCACCCTCCTCCTCCCTCCCCCTCCCGGCACAGCCAAAGTGCTTGTCGTAATCTGAGGGCGCTTGCGCCCGCCAGCTCGGAAATGTCAGAACGCGCGGCGCGCCAAGGTGCGTGCTGCCTGGGTTGGTGGCGACTGGGCCCTGTGAGCAGGATGCTGGAGCATGTAGTTTGTTTCGTGGTGGCCTGAGTTCCCCGTTGGTAGGCACAGTGACTTGTGGCTGTAGCTGCATCTCTTCTTATCCCCCTGCTTCTTGACGCTGTTTGCGGAGGCCGCCTCGCATGTCGTTTGAGTTTGGTTGGCACGTCCAGAACACGTCCAGACTGCCCTGAGTGTTTTGGCCACGGCTGGAATGGAACTCTCAACGTGATGGAGTGAACCCCTCCCTCCTCCTCTCTCCTCACTTCTCCTCCCTGCCTCCTTTTCGTCCTCCCTCTCTCCTCATCCTCCTTCCTTCCCTTACTCATACTTGCTCCTCCTCCTCCTCCTCATCATCATCATCATCAACATCATCATCATCATCATCATCATCATCATCATCATCATCATCATCATCATCATCATCATCATCATCATCATCGTCATAATCATCATCTTCCCTCCCTCTCTCCCTCCCTCCCTCCCTCTCCCTCCATTATTTTTCCTTCTAAATTGTTTTCTCCCTTATCGTACCCCGAGGCCAGTCGGAAGGGCGGGCCAGCAAGGCCGCCTGAGACCTCCTCCTCTATTTTCTGACCCTGAAGCTTTACTAATTGGCAACAGCTTCACGAATTGACGGCAGGTCGTTTTCAACACGTGGTTGTCGCTTTAGCGCCACGCACACTCGTCTTAACAGCTTGTAAGATTTTCACGGATTGTGGGCGGGCCATTTTCAAAGTGTGGCTTTCGCCTTAGCGCCGCGCACACTCGCCCTAGAACATGCACGAGTTTCAGGGTTTGAAGGCGGGTGGTTACACCATGTTGCTCTCGCCTCAGCGCCGCGCACATTCAGTTTTAACATGTTTAAGCGTTTTTTTGGATAGAGGGCGCGTGGTTTCAACATGTTGTTCTCGCCTTAGCGCTGCGCGCACTAAATATTCGCAAGTTCTTCACGAATTGAGGGCGGGTGGCTTTCAACACTTGACAGGTGATTTGCGCCTTAGCGCCGAGCGCATTCGTTGTTGACATGTGCAAAAGTTCTACGGCTTCCCACTGATCACTACCAGAAATGGTGTGTCGGAACGATTCTGGATTGCCAGGGTGTAGCGGTTACGTTGGTTCGCGTTGCTGAAGTCCCAGGAAGGCCCTTCTGGCACGATTCTGGGTTCTCAAGGCGTAACAGTCAGGTTGATCCGTGGCGTTAGTCCTGGGAATGATGCTCTAGCGCGCGTCAGGATCTTCAAACGGTTGTCCCCCAACGGGGCCCTTCCCTCAATGGAAATTCACCCGTGTAGGGACATCTGAAGAGTAAGCTTGGAGGAAGGGTTTATTACAACCACGTTGATGAGTCTTGGGTTTGCACTGGTCCTCCTCGTCCTCCTCCTCCTCATCCTCCTCGCGCTCTTCCTTCTCCTCCAGGATTCAGGTTTTTGTCGCGTTTGGTTCGCGGGGGTGCGCCAGAGAGCACCTATACGCCCCTGGAGATCACCGTAGACTTCCTCTTCCTTCTCGACATCCGTTCCCCTCATGCCCCTCCCACCTGCCCTTGCGCTGCGCGCCTTATCTGGGTTCGGTATTTGGCAAGTGTGCCGGACAACAACCTTGCAGCAGTAGGAGGCGGCGGAGGAGGGGGAGGGGAAAGAACAAGTATGGGAAGGATGCGGAGGCACGGGCTGAGGGGGTAGAGGAGACGGAGGGACCACGATGACGGCGACGGCGACGGCGACGGCGACGGCGAGGGCGAGGGCGACAGCGACGGCGGCGTCGGCGACGGCGGCGACGACGCCGACGACAACTGAGGAGGAGGGTTGAAGGAGCGGACGGAGGGCCAAAACCGACAACGTGGCGTGGGGCCCCTGGCCTGGGCTGCTGCTGCCAGGGGTGGCTAGAGCAGGACCAGGGAAATTTCATGCTGCAGTCACAAAGGAAGTCTGCGGCACGCCCCAGCCCTGCGGCGGAAAGCCGGCAGACTGCGTCAGAAGTTTTTTTCGGCGGCGGTTCCGCCAGCGGAAGGCGGAAGTAAAAGTGCCAGGAGGGAACAAAACCAAAACACACAGACACAATTAATCGTCGATTCCCAAGGAAAATATGGGAAAATATGGGCAGTGGGGGGGAAGACGAAAATCCAAAAAATATTGAAAAATATGGGGGATCCTTTTATTTGTGTGTATTTATTTGTGTGTCCCAGTTCCCCTCCAAAAGTGGAACGCCAACCTGTTCAGGCTCAGGATTTCTGGAGCCATTCCTGTTGGGGTACATGTCGATGCATGTCTCTTCCTTCCAGGCAACCCCCATAAGCAGACGACAGCCCTCCGACCCCGAGAAGGCCTCCCAAGTTCATCAAACTCTCAACCCCCTCGTCTCCTCGTCCCCGCCGCCTCCTCCTCCTCCTCCTTCTCGTCCTGATCCCCTCATCCTCCTCGTCCTCCTCCTACCTCTCACTGGATTATTGTCAGGATCGTTTGCTTAGCGTGTCGCGCCGCCGCTTCTTCCCCATGTGTATCGGCGCGACACGCTAGTCACGCCCCTGTGCCAAGCATCAACGCTTTGAGTTTTTGTCCAGCCTCCCGTCCCACGAATGTGCGTTTGCCGTGTCTGGCAGGGCGTGCTTTCTGGGAGTGGAGGAGGAGGTAGAGGAGGAGGAGGAGGAGGCGGAGATGGAGGAGGCGGAGGAGGCAGAGGGGGAGGGACAGGGGCAATAGATGCTGGGTGGGCCTCCTCGCGGTGGGCCGCGGGCGTCGCGGCAGCGGACGCAAAAGAAAGGTGTCTTGAACAATCGCAGCGGCAAGGGGAGGAGGGAGGGGAAGGAACTCCGAGAAGACGACTACTGCTACTTGTACGGCTACTACTACAACAACAAGAGGAACTACTACTACTACTACTACTACTACTACTACTACTACTCCTACTACGATTACTACTACTACCACTACTGCTACTACTACTAGTGCTACTACTACTACTACTACTACTACTACTACTACTACTACATTACTACTACTACTACTACTACTACTACTACTACTACTACTACTACTACTACTACTACTACTACTACTCTACTACTACTACTACTACTACTACTACTACTACTACTACTACTACTACTACTACTACTACTACTACTACTACTACTACTACTACTACTACTACTACTACTACTACTACTACTACTACTACTACTACTACTACTACTACCACTACCACTACCACTACCACTACCACTACCACTACCACTACCACTACCACTACCACTACCACTACTATTATTATTATTACTACTACTACCACTATTATTATATCATTTTTTATTCCTACTTATACTTCTACTACTCCCACTACTACTTCAACTACTACCACTACAAGTGCTATTATTACTTCCACTACTACTACTACTACTACTACTACTACTACGACGACTTCTACTATTACGACTACAGCTACTGCGACTACGACGGTTGCAACTACTACAACCACTACTATTACTACTACTACCACTACTACTATGGCTATTAGACTATCACTACTACTAGTACTACTACTACTACTACTACTACTACTACTACTACAACTACTACTGCTACGACTACTACTACCATTACTATTTCTACTACTACCACTACTACTACTACTACTACTGCTACTACTACTACTATTACTACTGCTACTACGACTATTATTATACTAGTACTACTATTACTACTGCTACTACTATTGCTACTGCTACTACTACGACGAACGTTGTTATTACTAGTGCGACTACTATTATTACTATTCCTACTACTACTACTACCTCTGCTACTGCTACTTCTACTGCTACTAGTAGTACGATTGCGATTACTACGGCTATTACGGCTATTTCTACCACTATTACTACTCGTAGTAGTACTACACCTACTTCTAGTACTACGTTTACTACTGCTACGGCTACGACTGCGACTACGACTACGACTATTATTATTACTACTCCTCCTCCTCCTCCTCCTCCTCCTACTACTACTACTACTACTACCGCTAGTACTACCATTACTATTACTACCTTACTACCACTACTATTACTACTACTACTACTACTACTACTACTACTACTACTAATGCTACTGCTACTGCTACGACTACTACGACTACTACTACTACTACTACTACTACTACTACTACTACTACTACCTCTACTACTATGACTACTAGGACCACGACTACTGCCACTGCTACTACGACTACTTCTTCTTCTTCTTCTACTACTACTACTACTACTAGTACTACTACTACTACTACTACTACTACTACTACTACTAGTACTATTACTACTACTACTACTACTACTACTACTACGACTACTGCAACTAGTAGTACCACCACCACTACTAACACTACTACTATCACTACTACTTCCACTACTACTACTACTACTACTACTATTACTTCCACTACTACTACCACCACTACTACGACTACTACTACGACTACTACGACTACCACTACTATTACTACTACTACTACTACTACTACTACTACTACTACTACTACTAATGCTACTACCACTACTACTACTACTACCACCACTACTACCACTACTACTACTACTACGACTACTACTACTACTACTACTACTACTACTACTACTACTACTACTACTACTACTACGACTACTAGTACGACTATTACTACTACTGCTGTT